CAAATGGACTGTTGCCACCTTCCCACATACCTTGTCCCAACCCACAAGGCACACAGATGCTGGAGGGTATTGCAGGGACATCAGGTCCTCCACGTCCCAACAAAGCCCTCCTCAAGGAGCGTGGCCTGGCCATTTATGTTGCCTGTTTCATCCCCTTGGACAACTCTGATTGTCCCCTGTACACTGGAGGCCAGTTCTGCCCCTGGTGGGCTCAACCCACTCTTCCTAGCTCTGCCGCTTGGCTCCTGCATTTGGTGTCTCTCCAAATAAATTTAAGTCAACAAGTGGGTAGCTGAGTCTCCTCTTTTACAGACCAAGAGGAAAGCCTGAAAGCCCTTAGCACACGTGCCAGGTGCACGGCAAATACACACAAAATCCAGTTGTTACTGAAAAGCAGGATGGATTGATCAACTGAATGATCTTTAGAGGTTTACATAATTACTTCTACTAATTGTTTTTGTTATCCTTTCTTTCAACCAAGCTCTGCTGGACCTCACTTAGGGCCCTTTCCAGCTGGCACTCTCTCCTGTGACGAGGCTGCAGTCGATCTAGATCTCACTGTGTTCAAGTGTGACCTGACCACAATGGGGCGTCAGCTTCTCTCACTTCACAATTTTATCCATGCAGTCCAAACCCAGCTTTTTTTTTTTTTTTTTGCCAACTATGTGCTGCTATAGCTTAAAAGTATAAATCCCTTCCATATTCACTGTTACTAATGGCTCCGCCTGAACATCTAGGGTACACTAAGCACTGTTTCAAGTAACCCTTTAGTCAATTCTTGTGCATTTCCCCAAAAGAGCACCATACATTTTTAAGACTGCACAGAGCACAGTGCTTGCTCAATTTATGAGATTAACCAGAATGCCACCAAGTTCCCAGAAGTTTACTAGCATCCACACTTACTCAATGATGTCCCCTGCAAGGGAAGGTCATGGTACAATCGGGCCTTCCAGGGGACAGCACTGAGGAAATATCCTCAATGCCAGGAAGAGACAGACAAGGTGCCAACAGGACGAAGACCTTTCGAAATGTGACAACTGCCCAGGGGGAGAAAAGGATCCTACCTGGGGCAAGCACGAGGGGACAACCTGGGCATCCGATTTAGGCCCTGGACACAAAGAGCGCCCACCAGTCCCAGCCCTTGCGGGGGCTGCAGACTCCCTCTCCAAGGCAGGCAGGGCCTACGTCTGCAGATATAGCAGCCATGCTGCCAGGACAGTCCCCATTCCAAAACGTGACCCCCGGTACATGAGCTACGATAAGTCTAATTTTTAGCATCAAAACCATTTGGGGGGAGGGGAATCACTGTTTCTAAGAGTTCATAATGAAAACGCACCTCAAAGCCCATTTGTGGGGTTGCTTTTTGAGCAGTATCCCCTGACGGGTGAAAGGTTAACTCCAAAGTTTTGAGGCTGGGGACCTCGCTGACTGTCAGTGAGATAGTTGGCCATGAAGCTGAAGGAAAACACCGGCGACACAGATTTAGAACCAAGGGTGCCAATGAAAAGAAACAAAGGCTACGACATGAACCAAAACTCCATCCTAGGTGAAAAAGCCAGTCACCAAGGACCACACAGTGACGGTTCCGGTTTTATGAAATGTCCAGAGGAGGCAATCCATAGCCACAGAAAGTAGATTAGTGGCTAAAGTTTAGGGGGGTGGGGAGATTGGAGGGTAATGGCAAAGGGGTCTGAGCTATCTTCTTGGGTTAATAAAATTGTTTTTGTTAGTGATGGACACAGAACTCTGAACAGACGAAAGGCCACTGAACCGTGTACTTTAAATGGGTAAAGTGTACAGTATTTGAATTTTATCTCAATAAAGCTGTTTAAGAAAGAATCAAGGGAGTGTCCAGTATCATTTACTGTGGACAACTTGTTTAATACTGGTTTTTAAGAGTAGTAGTTACATCCAACTTCCAAATAAATTTAAGGAAGGAGCAGGATTGCCTTGCTCGAGCTCTGTCCGCAACCCTCCACAGAACTTCCACTCAGCAGCCTGCTAGAATTTTACACCTTAGACCAAAACGGAAGTGAGCATTTTTAAAAATCATTTTTTGCTAGAATATCTAATTCAAATTTCCTAGAACCAAGCAAACCAGAAGAGTAGACTCAGAAATCAAGGGTCCTACACTGTTATTCCAGCAACCAAGCTCCAGCTGGGGAGGTTGCTGAGTGCCACGGGCCTGTTACGGGACGGAGCAGCCCATGCCCAGCATCACAGAGCTCTGCGCCCCTCCTGGGGCCCGGCTAGACCAGTGCACTTTCTCACTGGTCCCACATTGCACAGGAAGGCTGGTTTTCTCTTGAATTAACATAGGTGTTTTTATTTCACGCTACATAAGCAGCCAGCCAGGGGATCTGAGTGCCTGCTCTGTGGCAGTAAAATATTTGGTAGTTCTCTGAGGAGCAGAGCAGAGTTTGGATTTAATAAATGGTGGTTACACCTGAGAAACAATCCAGATAGGAAATAAACAGTGAATGAGATAATACCATGCCAAGTCATCAGGGAATAGAATAGGATATGCACAGAGAAGTTAGGCAGGGCACAAAGATAGGACAGTTTCAGGAAGATTGTGAAGCACGGATACAGCATGATTAATCTGCAGGAGAGGGCAACCAGGTATGAGAACCTATCACCAGGGAACATGTTTCTTCTCACATTAGAAAATGTTCTAACTACTTTTACCAACTTTTGATTTCTTAGCCATTATACTTTATAAGCACACCACCTACTTCTCAAGTGAAGCATGGGCATCATTATGTTTTTATTAATGGTAGATGGCAGAGAAAGCAATTTTGCCAGCACAGAGCTGGTGTTGGCTGAAGAGCCTGATTTGATCCTGGTTGCTTCCTTTAAGTGAAATCTCAACCCCTGGAGGGGAAAGCTAGAAAAGGAGGAATACATGACAGTCCCAAGAAAACCCCACCAGGTTTTTCTTCTTAATCATCTACCAACTGCAAAAACATCAAGTAGGGGAAAAAAAAAAAACTCATCTGGCAGCCTTTTACAATTTTATTTTCACATTAGAAAAATAACATGTTTCTCATATGAAGCACAAAGTAATTTATTAACATATTTAATTGATGATGATGTGGCGTGGGTAGCCCTGGCTAAGGCAGAGTGATCCTGAGTGTGGCTCCAGGTCTACTGAATGGGGACCACACCTACCAGACCTCTGGGGGGGTCAGCAGGGCACCCCAGCACTTAGCCACAATGACCTTACACTGAAGGAACTCCGATTATTAGGCCCAAGGTACTATTTATGTGCCAAATTGAGAAAGTGCTACTTTGTCTTATTAGGTACAGACATCATGCTATTTTATTTTTTGATCCAATTCAAAATTGTAAAAATGCAACCTTATTTCTTCTTTAAGGATCAGCTTTACTCCATTTTGGCTTCAGGAACATGGTGATGGACAGCTCATCACCCATTTTATCTCTGACATCTTGGGACAAACCTTTGCTACTTTCATAACCCATGCCTGGCAATCCCTTGGGCAGCCCCTGCAATTTGAGACAGCAGAATACAGGAGCCCACTCTGCTTCGGGGGAAGGAGGGGCACATAAAACATGGATCCCAACAGGAAGAAAATATTCTGAAGTGTCAGAATATATTTGAAACTCATGCCACATAAAACAGGTGTCATTTTTACTTTATTTAAGGAAAAAAAAGGGGGGGACAACAGTTATTTTCATAATGCACAGTAGACAAGTTAGCACTGCAAAAAAAAAAAGACTGTGTACTTGCCACCAGTCTGCGTTGCAGCTTCATGATTAGTAAATTTAACGCAGTTTGTAATTTATAATTACTATTTAGCAAATTTATAATTGGCAAAATTAGTGATTATGGATCACCATTAAGTGTGCTACAACTAAGACAAAACCTAAATAACCCATAAAAAAATCACTTAAACCATAAATATGTGATGCACATTAGTGTAACAAAACCATTTTTGTAAACATTTTCTCCAACGTAACATGTGCATGAGAAAAAAGTAAAAAACACTGCACTCAATTCAGAAAGGGTTACTTTGATTTAAATACAGAAAGGTATTACTTATTAAAGCTTTGACTAAACCTAGAGACATTGTGTTTTGTTTTGAGGAGCACTCCTATAATATGTAATGATATCATCATAATACTATTTTCTTTAGTAATTTTGCCATATCGGCACTTTTGTGGAGAAGTCACTATCCTGTAAAAGGGGAAAAGAAAAGTCATTCCTTCCCTAAAAGTGTCTGAAAAATTTGCACAGCTCACACTCTTTTAGGGAGAAGCCTCACCGGGCACCTGCATCAAGCTGTAGTGACTCAATCTGGTTCACAAGGTGGTGAGGCCAAGAAAAGGAGGATAGAACAGCCGAGTAAAGCACACACCAGGAACCCGCCCGGAAGGACAAATGGCTGTCCCACTTCAGTAAACTAAGCCCAGCAATGGACTCAATTTAAGTTCACCTCCAATCCCAACAGTGCCCACTGGGTGCTGGCTTAACGATTCTGACTTCAGTTCAGACCGCAACACCATGCCCTCTTCAGGTAATTCCAATGAAACACCATTTGCATTACTTGCATAACACTGCTTGATTTACAAACACTGAGCTTCAAGTCTGTGGCTAATGCAAGACCATGATGCCACATCCTTTGTTATGTCTTCCTTTTGGCAGCAGACATTTGGTATTTCTTCAAAGACATCTGCCCATCTTTACGGCTCTCTGAAGCCAGGGAAGGGGCGGCCATCACCTGTGCCCTTCTTTCTCCTCTTGACATGTACATATGTGTGTTCACTCAGGCATGTTTCATCTTATGAAAAGCTCAACATGAACAATACACAGCTAGCAGGAATTGAATTCCGACTAAAGTCCTATAGCAATGGAATCCAATTGCAAGTCCCGTTCAAAGGTGAGATTAACTCTTTAACATTCTCCAGGTTAACTACAAATCAATAGAAAAGATCCAGTTCTTTCTGCTTTGGCCATTAGCGTGACTCCAAAGTCATACAAATGGCACATCCATTTTCATCCCCTGTTCCTCCAAAACAAGTGAGGCTTTCCCAGCTTATCCTGTCTTTGTGGGTGTGTACAAACAGCTGTTTTGTCTGCACTTGTGAGTGTATGTATTTTTTACTATATTTTTGTAGTTCAAAGCAGAGCCATTGACAAAAATGCTGAACCAGAAGGAAGAGAACGACAGGGGTCAGAGCAGGTGCCAAATGGGATGAGAAGCAAATAGGTGCAAACGATTATTCCATTCGGGGGGAGGAAAATCCCCATTTCCATGCTATAAGAGAAATTAACTGCAAAGGAAGAAGATTAAGCCTACGAAACAGTAAGTTTCTTTTGGTGAACAAGGTTTAAGGCAGCTGTCACGCAATATTCCCACTCAGAACTAAACAGGAGAGTAACACGGCAGAACTGGGATACGGAGCATTGTCCCTTCACCAAGACATTACCATACTTAGGGGAGCTGAGTGATGACCAGGAAACCATGAAACAAATTATTACTCAAGACATTTATTACAAATGTCATGAACATATTCATAAAGTAAAACTGGTTTAAAAAACAGAGAACAAGAGAGCAAGTGAGAAAACAAGAAAAGCCAGGACTTCAATATTACACCTAAAACACAGGAAGATGTCAACTTTATGAATAAGCAGAATTAACTACATTCTTAAAATAGTTTTAGTGCATTGCATTTTTAGAAAAGGGGAATATCCCAACCCCCAAGAAAAGGTTCCTGCAACACTGAACAGTTTGTGTGACTATTCTAATGTGACCACCTGTCTGCTACCAAACCCCGAATTGAGAATAATGAGATCTCTTTTGTTGTGGGCTACAGTCACCCGATCAACCTGCAATGGTGACTCTGGTGAAAACAAAGCACTCTGCTTTCTACATGCAGAAAGCAAACTGCATCAGCCATAAGGCTATGTGCCACCTTCATGGACAGTTCTTCTTGTGCCTGCTGAGACTGTGATAAAATAGCAATCAAACTTCAATCTGAGAGTTTTGGTATTAAGATTAAATTAAACATTAATGGTTTCCTCCCAAAACATATAAACGAAATCACCTCTCAATGCATTAAAAACAACGAGGTAGGCAAAAAAATAAACATGTGGTTTGAATTTTTTTTTTCTTCTGCAAGTGCAGACTGTGGTAAAACTGCTGTTGCACTTCTAGGTTTAAACAAAAATTAAACCTTTAACTGAGGCAGTGCTAATACTGTCACACAACAAAGTTCTGGCCATTATACAAAATGCACACATTTTCTTTTTTCTTCTTTTTTTTAAGAACCATCTGCACATGATTTAGGCAAAACCTGGTACACAGAAAAATGACTGAGTTCGTGGCCAGAATCCCCCCCACCCAAATCCAAGGAAACAAAATGGGACCCCTTAACCCACCCCACCCCATCTCCCAAGCCCCACCCACAAAAAAGTTATCCTAGTAACTGTGTCTTTCACATTTTATAAATATTAACTTCTTAAACCTGCACCTTCTTTGTCCACATATTGTCACATTACAAAAAAGAAATGTCAATTAAATACATTGTTAATGTTACTATATTAAATCTGCTCTCTGCTTTAGCAAACTGCTCCTTATACCACCACTTCTCACCTCCTTGTGCCCACTGCCAAGAAAAGCGACGGCATGTTCACCGTCGCCACCGCCAGACACTCATGAGACAGAGTCATTCAGAGAAAAGGAATTCTGGAGCTGCAGGAAAGGTGTTTGCTTTCCGGTCTGATGCTCAATCTCAAACACTTTTAGCACCTGATGGTAGAATCGGAACAGCACCAGCTGCATTGCAGCCTTGGTTTATTTTTGAGTAAGGAAAAAAGAACAGGGATAAACTGGTAAAACAGGAGCAGGAAGGAAGGGAGAGAAAGAACCCAACACGTGAGGCCTGCACACACAGCTGTTCTTGTTGCCCTGGTGCAACTCTGAGCTCCAGTTGCAAGGAATTCCAAGTTCTCAGGATCTTGAAGACTCTGAAGACCGACAATGCCCGGATCACACTGCTTCTACCAGCTCAGAAGAGAAGTCCTGCCTAGGGTCATGAAATAAACCTGACTGCTGCCACCAGACCGAACAGAGGCAAAGAATACCTGCAAAAACAGGAACAGAAGAGAGGGCCCGGTTACCACGGCCACACAGCACCTTGCATGGGAACATGGCTTCCTGTGGGTCCCAGCCAGGGAGCCTAAGCCACCACCATCCTCACCACTGCCAAGCGCAGGGAGCTTACACCCCAGAGAGCCTTTTCAAATCAAACTCTGGGATAATATCAATTTATCATTTGTAAGGAGTGACCACCTGTAGCCAATTTTTATTACAACTAAGGCTTATTAACTGGGTAACTCCTTATAAGGTGCCGTATTGTGAGAACTCAAAGGGAAAAAAACGATGTTTCAGAAACTAAGTTATTTCCACTTCCACTGTTAAAACCTTCTAAAAAATAAACGCATTTGAAAAAACACATTGAGCAATAAGGAAGACTCCTCAAGCAACCTAATTTCTCTTTTTTAAAAAAATACATTTTAAAAAAATTACTTCATGATTCTATAGTTAATATAATTTGTTTTGTGCTTTTTATTAATAAATGTTAAGGGACATGGCAGCATGCATAAAAGTATTTAAATGCTGAAGTTCAAAGAATGTTATACTTATGGCAACAGTAAATATACTTAGGAAAGTATAAGCCAAAAAGCTGCCAACATCCTGGATTAGGTCTGAGATGTACAGATTTTCAACGTACATATTTGGGAGATACCATGTCAGAAAAAAATGCAAACACCACTTGCACGTGAGTTGTAGGACTGTAGGAGACAGTGCGTTGGTGGTGAGGTAACTTTTGTGTTTAGTGTGTGGTTGGGCAGGCAGGACCAGCTACCAAGGAGAGACATGTAGCTCTTCTTTCTCATGTTGAATTAGTAAACCTATGGGCTGGCTGTGAGGATGTTTAATATATTTCAATATGAGGCAAGAGGTGGAAATGTTCTTAAGAGGCAAGTTTCTAAGGCTGCTGTGCATTGCGTCGGGTAGTCGGCCAAATAGACAGAAGAGAGAAAAGCTGGGCTTGGTAGAAATCAGTTCAACTCTCCATGTCCTTCTTCTTGGCAGGCCAGGATGGGTCAATGCCCTTGGCCGTCCAGCTGCCCTATTCCACGGCTGGGTTTGGGAGGGACTTCTGGGAGTGAGTAGTCCCTGGAGAAGGTAGGAATGTGGCCAGTTTTGAAAATCAATGGGCTTTGACACCCTAGGGTTTCAGGTATAGGAGGTATGGTGCTTCTGCAAAAAATGATTTCTACCGTTAAGCATTTCTGACATGCAAACCAAGGAAGCTATTTCAATACTCAAAAGGCAGACTAACAAAGCATTATCTTCCTGACACACATCAGGGGAGAGGAATCTTTTATTCTACCCAAATCTCACTGGTAACTCTTTCCATTCACAAAAGAATTTCATCGAACTAAATGGGCAGCTTTAATCTTCCCTCTGTCTAAACTTAAAATAGCCTAGACAGGTCACCTACTGGGGTTAAAAAAAAAATCCAGAAAATCCAACATATGATTTCTGTACAGAGAAATTCCCCTCATAGCAAAAAACAAAATAAAATATACCCCAATCCCCAAAAACATGACTAAAAAGTAACATCTAAAAAGTTTCTTGATTAATTTATTTTAGAATCTATCCAAACTCTAAGAAAATTCATCATCAAACTCCATGGAAATCATTGCTAAAAACAGAAGCAACTAAAAAGAAGTCATAGGAAATCATTACCTTATCATTGCGTTCACACAAGAATTTTAGTCTTTGAGCCCTTTTGTGCATGAACACACCATCCAAGTGACCAGTTTCCACAGATCGGATCTCTATGGCCTTCTCTCCCCAGCCCATGGTCTGATTGGATCGAATATATGCTTTTGGGAGGAAAAAGTTACAAATTGTTGAAGATAGGGAAATATCCTTGAAAAGATGTCGCTTCTGTGACACATAAAGATACAAACAACCCCACCCTCTCAAAATGCCTAGCATTTAAGGGTTTTCATATTTAAGGAACTTTGCCTTTGTAACAGTCTAGTCTATCCTGGGAAGTAGTCATTAGCATCGGTGGTTGAATCTATTCATTTCCCTTAGGCCTTTCATGCTTATCTTGAAAAATGACCCCGAGTTTAGAGTTTAATGCACATTTCCATCAATCTGGTCATGAGAGAAGGCAGGGAGAAGAAATGAAGGGTAACAGAGACAGTGACTCTATTGCAACGAAAACAAGATAGTTTGGGATATAAATATAGAGCCATAAGACTCTCAAATATTAGCCTTTATTCCTGAACGCAAACCAGAGGACTGTGTATGAGGCTGTGTATCCAGGTGGCTCTGCCACACTCAAGGCACATCACTTCCCTTTTTCTATCTACCTTCCACAAATCAGCCAACAAAAAAAAAAAATCTGCACTATTTTCTCTGGATGTTTTCAGGATTAAATGAAAGACTGTGGTAATAGAGTTTTAAAAAGTATAAAATAATTCCTTGGATTTTATTCTAAAATAAACCTATGACTATTTCCATGGTCTTCAATCTAACTTCGTACCATCTATTGCCAACCACTGTTAAATGGCCAAAAGGTTTGAAAGACTGGAAAAATCAGCATGATGAATATATGTAGTCTAAGACAAGGCTCCACTTTCACAACTGCTGACTTTCCCCCCAAGTGCTCCATACCTACAGATGTGGGCATCTCTCCCCACTGCAGGACCACATCTTTGGTGATCCTTCCATACGTGTTCACGTAAACCCCCTCATCTTCATAGCACACCAGAAGTTCCATCCCATCTGTGTTGGGGAGGATGATGATTGCATGGGGTTTGATGCTACACTGGATCTGGAGAAGAGGAACAAAATGCAAAGAAGCATGTTTGTGGCTATTTCCAGCCCTACGTAAGTACTCAGTAAGACTGTCTTGGTGAATGCACTGGTACCATATCCCTGGTGATGAATACAGCAATTAGATAACATTTTGAAACACCCATGCAATATATATCTCCAAGTCTACCTTTTATATGTCATATACTCTACTGACTCACATTTTCTGAGGGCCCTGAAACGTATTTGGATGGTGGGCTCCATTTGCGAACCACTCTCAACCCAGGGATGTTCTGACCTGCCAGCAATTGCCCCAAATCCAACCCATGTTAGTCAAAGCAAAGGCCTAAGAGGTTTTCAGGAGGGCTGCACAGAGCCAGGAGAGTGGATTTCCACTTGTCTCAGAGCATAGAGCTATTGAAGATAGCACATCACTTAAATACTCACCCCCACACCAAGGGGAAATGAAGAATCCCTGCTTGTGTTAGTTCACTAAGCAGAGGAAAGAAAAAAGTCAAAACAAAATGAAGCCAGTCAACCAACCATAGAGTGTGGGTTCTTTCTTACGTGTGTTGGTAGATAAATGTCATAGACTGATCCTGAATCCACATCAACAGCATGGAATCCAGCACAGGATCCATAGATCACTTTCAACCTCTGGCCTTCTTCAACAG